GAATGACTCGCCAACAACTTCAGAAGGAAGTCAACTCAATTAACTTGAACTTTGGTGAAGACCCCGATTGCATCAGGCGATAGCAAGGTTTTCCAAACGGCTGATCTTTAAGGCGCACCTGAATGATCCGGAAATGGTTCTTAGACATGTTCTTCTCCTACTTGCGATAACTTTCAGCTCACTGCTCCAAATCGTTTTATTCTAGATTTTCTGGAAACTATACTCAATTACCTCAAATCTTGATGAAGACACCGGAAACTGAATCGGCTGGGAGAGGCTTCGTCTCAGGTCATCTTTGGAGCATCTCACATACCGCAGTAAGCATTTTTGGCCAAGAAAAACCTTCCTGCGGTAAGGTTTTTGGCCGAGAAACTCCAAACTACCATTTCCCTCATTTCTTCACCTTTTTTCACCATTACTTCAACTGATTCCATCTTTAAGTCCTTAAACTCTAAAACAAGGACAAAACATGAAGAATCTATCTAAAATGTATTCGTGAGACTCTATTCTTAGACTAAAAATGCATCATAAACATGCAAATATATGAATACATCAACTCCCCCTAACTTATTCTTTGCTTGCCCTCAACCAAACTAGAACAAATGAGAGAGAGGTTGAAGGATTGGGAGTTCATATTCCAAAATGAGAGAGTTGATCACTAAAATAATTCAAAGTTCATTGTCCTAGTTGCTAATTCTGAAATGCAATGCAAACAAGATTACTCATAAAACATTTTTCATACTCATCACAAAGTGAATCAAGCCAAAGAACCAGCCTTCACAAACATTCCTAGTTCTAACCATTTGACATTCATTAAAGTTTCATGTGGATCATGTTCATGCAAATCATGTGAATTCATTTGGCTTGGGACTAGGTTTGGAGATTAAAATGATCTCAATAAAGTCACTGGCTCAATGCAAGGGGATCTCTCAAGAAATAGTAGACTTTAGTAAAATGCTAAGGGTAAAAATCAATGGATGCATACAAAAACCATGAAGTTTCTCTTCTTAAGCTACCCTCTCCCAATGTCATTTTGCCTTTATTAAACACCAGATTTTTTTCACCACTTTTCATTATATCTCTAGGGGAATGCTCTCTTTTCTTTTTAAACACTTGGTGAGATTTTATTTCATTTAGACACTTAGCTCTTTTCTTTATTTTAGCCTCTTTCTTTTTTACTCTTTTCTTTTATAAGAAATTATTTCTGGTGGCTCTAAACCGCATGAGAGATAGTTAACAAGATCAGCAAAGCATGGGAGGCTCCTTTCTCTGACTGTATTCGCTTGTTCAACCACCAAGTAGGACTTGATCAGCATTATATGCTCCTCAAGTAAAGAATCATCTAGAGGGATATCTGAGTCCACTCTTAACCGTGAGAGATGATCGGTAGATCCATTCTCAATGCCTTTCTTGTCTTGCACCTCCATGTCAAATTCTTGTAACAGGAGAACCCACCTCAAGAGCGTCGGCTTAGCATCCTTCTTTGTCCCGAGATACCTCAAAGCCGCATGATCTATGTACACAACAACCTTTGAACCCACTGGATAGCTTCTGAACTTGTCAAATGCGAATACTATAGTCAGCATCTCCTTTTCAGTTTTAGCATATTTCTCCTGACCCGAGTCCAAGGTCCTGCTTTCATAGTAAATCACATGCAGCTTCTTGTCCTTCTCTGACCCAAGACTGCTTCCACAGCGTAATCAAAAGCATCGGTCGTCACTTCAAAGGGTAGGGTCCAATCTGGTGCCTGAACTATTGGTGCACTAACAAGGGATTGTTTGATCTTTAAAAATGCCTCCATACACTCCTCATTAAATACAAACTCAACTTCCTTGCAAAGCAGCCTTGTTAGCAGGCTAGCTATCTTAGAAAAGTCTTTGATAAACCTTCCATAGAAGCCGGCATTCCCTAATAAGCTCCTGATTCCTTTGACCTAGTTTGGGGGCTCCAAGTCCACCATCACCTCCACTTTGGCTTTATCAACTTTTATCCCTGCCTCAGAAACTTTATGCCCAAGCACAATGCCCTCTTGCACCATAAAACGGCACTTTTCCCAGTTTAAAACCAAGCTGTGCTCCTCACACCTTCTTAGGACCTGAGAAAGATTAGAAATACAAACAGAGAAGAAGGATCCATAGACTGAGAAGTCGTCCATGAAAACCTCTACTTTCTCTTCGATTAGATTCGAAAAGATGCTCATCATGCAACACTGAAATGTGGCAGGGGCATTACACAGCCCAAATGGCATGCGCCTATATATAAAGGTCCCGTAGGGACAGGTGAATGTAGTATTCTCTTGGTCTCTTGGATCTATGGGGATTTGAAAGAATCCATAGTAACCATCTATAAAACAAAATAAAGGATGGTTTGCGAGCCTCTCTAGCATTTGGTCAATAAAAGGTAAAGGAAAATGGTCTTCCTAGAGGCTGCATTCTGTGACCTGTGATGGTCTGTGTAGCTATCAACTCATCCTTCTCATTTTTAATCACTGTCATTCCTCCCTTTTTGGGCACCTCATGTACTGATGAAACCCATCTAGAGTCTAAGATTAGATATATGAGCCCAGCCTCTAGGAGTTAAAGAATCTGTTTTTTCACTACCTCTTTCAAGTTGGGATTGAGACGCCTTTGGTGCTCAATGGATGACATAGATTCCTGTTCAGGTGAATCCTATGTGTGCATAGAGAGGGTGAGATACCCTTTATATCATCCAAAGAGTAGCCAATGGCTCTCCTATGTTTCCTCAACTCATCTAACAATGCATGCTCTTGATCCTCCAACAGCTTATCGTTAATGATAACAGGGTATGAATAGTTTGAGCCAAGAAAAGCATACCTCAGCCTGTTGGAAGAGGCTTGAGCTCAACAGGGGGCGCCTTTGCTTCATCCAAATCCTCATTAAAGCAGCATTGCTCATCGGCTACTCCCTCGGCATTGGTTTATTCATGCAGTTTACCCCTGCCCTCGGCTTGTGATCCCACGGCCATGCAACCCCGAGGTGTTCCCTGACTTGAATTGTAACCTCTGATCCCCAAAACCTCGAGACCGCTTGCCTCTAGCTCCAAAAAACTTGTTTCTGAATCAAGTTCCTTCGGCTGATCCAAGAACTGCTTGTAAGCTTCAGTCTCTTCATTCAAGTACCCATGTTCACCTTGATATTTTGTCAAAACGACTTGGAGATGATCCTCTGTGTTTAGTTCCTCAAGGAGCTCATCGGCAAGCTCCTCCATTGTCTCGATGTAAAAGACTTGTCCACCTATGGTCGGCTTCTTCATCATCTCTTTTACATCGAATTTCATGGTCTCTGATCCAATGTCCAGCTCGATCATACCACCTCTGACATCTATGATGGCTCCTGCTGTGGCCAAGAAAGGCCTTCCCAAAATGATAGGACCAACCGGCTCTTCATCCATCTCCAATACTATAAATTCTGTTGGGATCTCAATCTCAACAATTTTCAGAGGCAATTCTTCAAGTAATCCAATGGGTAACCTTACTGACCTATCAGCAAGTACTAGATAGATCCTTGCTGGCTTGTAGCTGTTGTAACCCAACCTTTTTGCAATGGTATAAGGCATTAAGCTTACTGAAGCTCCCAAATCACACAAACAGCTAGCAAACTTCAAAGGACCTATAGCACAAGGTAAAGTAAAGCTCCCTGGATCAGATAGCTTTCTTGGAATTTTTCCTCTGAATAATACCACTGCACTAATGACTCAGAATGACCATTCCTTGTAACTCCATGGTGTTTTTCAAAACCGCATCTTTTAGAAACTTTCCAAATTGTGGAATTATGAGAAAAGCTTCTATGATCGGCATGGTCATCTGAGTGTTCTCCAAGTGCTTTTCAAACACTGCTCTTGCTTTGTCTAGGATTTGTTTCTTGAATCTCCCTGGAAAAGGATGCTTAGGCTGATAAAGAGGTGGTGGAATATGAGGCTTCTCAGGTTTAGGTTCCTTCTCCACCTCTTTAGCCTTTTCTTTCTTTGAAACCGCATCCTCTTGCTCATCCCTTGGGGCTGCCTCCCCACCGATTTGCTCATTGTCCTCAATGAGCACTCTGTTCTGTTCTGTTCTGGACCGACTGTTCTGGACAGTTTTCTCAGCTAAAGGTGATGGCATTAACATATTTTTTTGGGATTGGGTTCTTGTTTCCCGGGTAAAACTACTTGTCCTCTTGATGTGGAAGCTGGATTCTGCTTAAGCTCCCTAATCTCTTGTTGCATGGACACATACTTGGAACCAAGATCAGTAAACCCACTCTCAAACCTTTGGTATCTTTGTAACAACTGCTGAAGCACACCACACAAGTCTGGACCCATTGGCTGCTGTTGATGAACCGCTTGAGGCTGAAACTGTTGCTGAGTGAACCCTGGTGGAAACTTCGGTTGCTGAGGCTGAGAACTGAAGTTACTGCTCTGAACCGGTTGCTGTTGCTATCCATAGCTCTGTTGTTGCTGCACAATCTGTTGTTTAAGCTGAAAAGAACTTTGAAATTGGGGCTTAGGGGCAAAGCTTTGCTGGTTCTGCTGAGAAGGATACACTTGATCTTGAGGATTGGCCACATTGGGGTTCCTATATGAGAGATTCTGATTTGAGTTATAATTGTTGAACCTCTGATATCGGTTTTGGTTCCCTATGTAATTGATTTCTTCTTGTGTTAGCCCATCCTCATTTACATTCTCAAAACTTGGTCCTTGCTCATAAAACTCGCCTACAAAGTGAATAGGCTTTTGTGTGGCCACCAGCACCTTGTCAGGCTTGTTCTGAAGCTCCCTTATATCCATTTCCATACGCAGCACTTTGCTAGATCCCTCTGTTATATTCGCTCTGTCGAAATCTTCTCCATATATATCATTACACACCACAAGATTCTCAACTAATTCCATTGCGGCATTGATCTCCCTTCCAAGAAAGTTCCCATTAGAAGCTGTGTCAAGTTTGTTCCTTATCTTGGGGAGGGCACCTCAGTATAGTGAACTAAGAAAAGATGCCTCTGAGAAGGCGTGGTGAGGACACTGATTGGTGTAGCTGCGAAACCGTTCCCAAGCTTCTCCAAAGCTCTTGTTTGTGTGCTTTGTAAAGCTGGAGATTTGGTTCCTTAGCTTAGCGGTCCTGGAAGTAGAGAAAAACTTAGACAGAAACACAAGCTTGCACTGCTCCCAAGTTTGTATTGTCCGTCTTAGAAGATTCTTCTCCCATTGATGCACCTTGTCCCCTAAGCTGAAGGGAAACAATCTGAGTTTAAAGCTGTCCTCCGAGACACCGTTGATATTAGTGAGATCATATACACGGTCAAACTGGTCTAAGTGCTCTAAAGGATCCTCCACTGGTAAGTCGTGAAACTTAGAGTTCTGCACCATATTGAGCAAGGAAGCTTTAACTTCGAAGTTATTGTTTTGAACCGGTGGTGCTTGAATCCTTGCTCGGTACTGGTGTGCATTGGCTCTATCGTTCTCACCAACAAATACTTGTGGAGGCTGTCTTTGAGCTTGTGGCTGAGGCTGAGGAACGCTCTGAGCCTGTTGCTCATTGCGGTTAGCTTGTTGTTGATTATGCTGAGCTTGCCTTTCATTTCGCTGAGCCATGTTCTGATTTACATAGGCTTGTTACTCGTTCCTCTCAGACTGCGCCTGGTTTAAGTGAGCCTGATGCTCGGTTTCTTAAGCCTGTTGCTCAATCCTTGATTGATCCTCCATACCCAACCGTTCCTGATTCACAGCCCTCTCTCTAGCTCTTCTTTCAAGCAGGTTTATGTTGTTGTTGTAAGGCTGATGAGGCTCTGAACTTCTGGAGCGTGTTCGTATGTACCTGATCACTCAAAGACAAAGCTCAAAGGTTGATCAGTAAAACAAAAAATAAAGACTTGATCTCAAGAACAAGCAAAAACTAATGCTAAATCCACAAGCCGGCAAAGGCGTCAATTGATAACAAGGTTTTTCAGGCCTTTAAGGGTTATCAATCCCCTGTCACTGTAGAACAAAGGGGTATCAATCCACGTTTGTGGTTTAGACACTAGTTTATAAAGCTATACTTCTTATTCAAGTCAAACAGGTAATGGTTTTGGTTTCTAGACTAGTTACAAAACAAGATGAGAAAACAAGAATTAAACTAAAGCAAGATGCAAACAAGTAAATAAGATAAGCAAGATAAGCGGTTGATGATATGAATCATGAATCAGCAAGCATTAAGAATCAGTTCAATAAGTCATTTAAGAGAAACAAACTATTATTATCATGATGAAAGACTCTTAAACCTCTAACAAACCTAGTTCAGGTATTTCAACAAACACTTTCTAGGCGTGAAAGTACCTCAGATCTAGACCACATGTGATGTTCAAGGATCTAGCATAGAGATCAGTTTGTTAGAGAATGAATGATGAAGATCTTGTTCTCTTTGTTTCTTTTCATCATCATCAAAGCTTCTAATCATGTCTAGCATCACTTCTTGCAAAAGATTAGGTATGCTCTTCATGATTAGTGAGTAGTTCCATTATGAGGTTTTAGATAGGTAGATTAGGGTGTTGAAATGCTAGATTAGCGAGTCTAGGTTCTAGATCTGCATCATTCATTCTCTACTAAACCGATCTCTAAGCTGGATCCATGAACATCACATTTGGTCTAGATCTGAGGTGTTTCATGCCTGAGAAGTGTTCGCTGAAATACCTGAAGCAGGTTTAGTAGAGGTTTAAGAGTCTTTCATCATGATAATGATAGTTTGCTTCTCTTAAATGACTTACTGAGCTGATTCTTAATGCTTGCTGATTCATGCTTCTCAAAAAAGATTTTGGTATGAAAGAGGATTAGTTTAGAAGCTTAATACCTTCATGAGAGGATTAACTTGTCCTTGAGTTCATGTTAAATGAAGTTGCTTGACCATTTAGTTCATTAACTGATAACACCGGATTTTGACCATTTTTATGGATCACTTTAATATCTATTACAGGTGTTTTTACTCCATTTTCAAAGGTTTTCAAACGATTTCTACGTTTCCGGAATTTTAAAAGACTTTTCAGGTAATTTGGGAAAAGAGGCACAAATTGGAACAAAAAGACTATTTTGGATAAATGCAGACCGTCAGAACTCTCATAGAGAGACGAAGACCTTCTCACCGTCTGATCACCCTCAAAATTGGACAACTTATAGAAGAATCAACCAGCTTTCAAATGCACTTAGTTTGGAGACATTCCAACGGTTGGATCTCAAGATATTCCATTAGCCCCGGAGCCACTCGAAGACGGCCAGCAAGTCACGCGACCGCGACCAACAGCCTATTTCCCGCAGTCAGAAGCCTCCCGACCGCGACAACCACCAAATCCCCGCGGTCACGTCACTCCCGACCGCGGCCATCAAGCTCCGAATTAAAGCCCATATTTCTGAAGCCCAAAGTCATTCTCAGCCTCAATTCCGAAACCCTAGAGACCTGGAGTATTGAAGACTATAAATACTTGTCATTTATTTCGTTTTTAGAGAGAGCCCTTCATACTTTACAGAAACCCTTTTCCTTTAGCCGTTTTTATGCGATTTTTGTAGAAGATTGTTCAAGTCCGAGTTCTGCAATAGAGAAGCTTTCTTCATCTCTTTTCTTTACTGTTCTTCATTACTTTTATTAAAACCAATGACGATGTCGACCTCAGCCATGTCTGAGTAGATCCCGAGTTGGGCTTAGGGTTCCCGAAATGGGCTCTCATAATCGATTAAGACATCTAGGTTTATAGATCTGAGATTTCGACCTGTTCTCTGTTTATTCTTGTTCTTATTGCATGTATGCTTGATTGATCACCTAGTATCTGATCTAGATAGTTAGTGTTGCGAAAGTTTTCATTAAGTATCAGCCCTAGAATGAAACAGGCGATTTTTCCGTAGGAGTGGAAACCTACCTGCGGCGAGATCGTGAGTATTGACGAGTCTTGTGCAGCTCTTGCGTTCTCTCCCTTCCAGGGCCAGAGTGGAAACCTACTGGTCAGGGTTGCGAGAAACAGTTGGTTATGATCACGACAGTGACGTAGTCATACCGCCGTACTCTAGCTCTAGAACCACCTATATATCGATATCCGTCAATCCCAATCTATCTACCCTAGTGTTAAAACCGATTATGATCCCTTAGAGTTCCCAAAAGCTCAGCTTTTTTAGCCATAGTTTACAAACCAATCGATTTTTACTTGCTTATTTCGATCTGCATTTCAGTTGCTTTAGTTCGATATTTTACTTGCTTTACTTGCCTTTCATTCGATTTCTTTACTTGCTTTCTAGGATAGATTTATTTGCTTTCTTTTGTTTTAGTTTAATTCGTGACAAACAACCAACCTTTAAAACCAATCTAGTCTAGACATAAAGTTAAAAACCGTAGAAGAATACCAGGCACACAAATCTCTGTGGATTCGATCCCTAAATATATACTACAGCTGATTAGCTGTGCACTTGCGGCTTTCATTTGTTTTTGTTAAGGGTAAAACTTGTTCCCTCATGCAGTTGACTCGACATCAGTTGTCACCTTCCTACAGGAGCAGCACCAGTTCGCAGCCGACACATCGGAGGATGAGTGATTGATCAGCACTTCACTACCATCACGGTTCTATCATCATTTTCTTTTCTTTTATCTTATTTTATTTCGCTTTTATTCACCATCTTCTCACCAACTTTTTCACACTGGGGACAGTGTGATTTAAGTCTGGGGGAGGATGTCTATCCGTACTAATCATTTTATTGCTTTTGCTTTTAAATTTCAAGCACTTTTTAAATTTTAATATGTAACCTATTCGACATTAAGTATTTTTCAGGAATGTTTGACGCAAAACTCTGATGATTTAGACCTGCACACTTCTACACTATGCATGATAGCTCATATGTGGTTAGCACTAGACTAGGCGGTAGCTAGAGTACTTGCACTACGAACTCCCACCAGAGGACTTCTATTCATGGAGATTCTTTCTGACAGGATATACTAGCTCAATTTATTTGGACTTAATATTGATATCTAATTTTCTCATCGTTGATTTTAGGCAGGCATCGACATACACATCCAGGACGTCTTTTACCCTCACTTTTACCACTGTTTGTCGTCCTAGATGACCAGTTTATCTTTATCTGGTACCATACCCTAAACCCAAAACCCTTGTTTTCAATCCTCATGCATTCTCTCTTTAGTTTATATCAGCAAATATGTGCAAAAACGTCGGAGAGAAAAGGAGCGACGCAGTTTTCAGTTACTCACAAAAGGAGACTGAATGGAATTGGGAAGGAAGAGTATCAGAAACCTCATAAAGCTTTACAAGATAGATATTAATTGGTAATTTCGTGCTCTCTAAGACTCTATATCTAAAGGTGTTCCCTTTCTTCAAACAAAAAAAAAAAAAAAAAGAGGGAAACAAAAAGCCTAATGAGTCTTAGATTGACGAAATTTGTGGAGCAATAAGCAACCACTATTCGTTTAAGGAGCTATGCTTTTGAAAGATTTACAAAAATCTAAGTCTGGGGGAGTTAGGAGAGAACCTGAGGAAGAAGATCAGGAATCTATGGCAAGAAGAAAGTGACTGAAAACTGTGGTTACCAACAGCTTCACTCTCTCTTGCGGTTTTGCATAATATCCTGCATCCTCCAGATCTTCAGGTAACCCGTAAACACTTTAAGCCTTACCCCTGGAATAATCCTGTTTGACACGTAAACTAGATTGCCTTGCCCAGACTTTCTTTGATGAGAACCACCGAGCTTTTTAATGAATGTTAAGAGCTAGTTGACTGGAAGTTAGATCTTAGTGCATAGATTTCCGCATGACGGATTAACGGACTAGTTATGCCTGTATTGCTAGTGAGAATTTTCTAGGCTATTCCTGATTGATGCATACTGATTAATATTGGTCTAGAAGTTTGGTCTCTGAGATTTTGTTTAGTTCTTGCGTTTTCAAACCTCTCACCGAGATTTAGCCTTTGTTTTGTTTGAGGAGAAACAAAAGACTAAGTCTGGGGGAGTTGATAACACCGGATTTTGACCATTTTTATGGGTCACTTTAATATCTTTTACAGGTGTTTTTACTCCATTTTCAAAGGTTTTCAAAGGATTTCTGCGTTTCCGGATTTTAAAAGACTTTTCAGGTAATTTGGGATAAAGAG